GCCGCCATCACCGCCCGGGCGGGGCAGGGTTAACCCTTTCCGCCTGTGGTGGTGGGGTGTCCCGCGGTACCGCAGCCCCTTCCGCTCTTGCCCGGTCGCTGGGGCTCGGTATGGGTCCCGGGGGCCCTTCTGTCTGTGGCGGGGGGGGGAGTGGTCCCTGCCAGCCCTCCGGCGGTGGCGGGAAGCGCGCGGGCAGCTCCCTCACCGAGCCGGGTGGTGGGTGAGGCGGCTCGGCGGGGACACGGGCAAACCCCTGGGCGGCCGTGGAAAGTTGTTCCACGTATTATGAGTTTGGCGTCGCTGGGTCCCGCCTCGGCCCTTCAGCCGCCGGGGCTGAGGAAACGGGTTTGGGTGTAGGGAAGATGGAGGGGTGTTTGGGCGCTGTGCGCCTTTGGGGGGGGGGGGGGTCTTCGTTTCCTCAGAGTGGGGGAAGGCAGCCCTGCGTGAGGGGGCAGAGCGGCTGGCGCGGGAGGGTTGGGCAATTTCAGCTTAATAGGGTTGAAGTGGGACGTCATCATTCATTTTTATGCCTCGACGCTTCAGCAGATTTGTGCTTTTTGTCGCTTCCTGAGTTCTAAATACTGAAAAGGAGCAACACCTAAAATGTGGCGCTTCATCCTCTTCCAGTAAAACTTTGGACCTTACAGCTTATATGTGCTTTGAGACCGTGCAGAGCTGCCTCAAAAAGATCATGGAAAGCTGCACTTGGCGTGCTTCATGTTTCCAGTATGTACACAAGTGTAAGGAGTGAAATGGGGCATAACGCCATTTAAAAGAAAATCCTTTACATCAGCTTTTTGCAAGTCGAGCCCAATTTGGCTTCAAAGAAAGCCCGGCAGGCTCAGACTTTATGTGTGACCCTGCAAGAAATCATTTGGTCTGTCAGTTTCATGAGCCACAACCACCTATATATACACACAAATTGTGTCTTTTTTTTATAGGCTGAAATTGGAACTTTAACTTTTATGAGTTCTGCTATGTCTACCTTAAGAACCTGTGCCCCTCTATCTGTAGAATGAATGTCTTAGCTTCTGAATTAATTCATATTTGAAAAATACTTTGATATTTTTTCATAGCAGCTCATTCTTCACTTGGAAACTGTATCGGTAAAATTTGAGAGAGTGATCTTGTTTAAATTTTAACAAACTCCTGTTTTGCTGAATAGAAAAACGGTGTGATTCTGATTATCTGTGTAATGCAAAGTAGACTTACCACAGTTTGGTGTGAAATTTTACATACCTTGAGGAGCTCTTGGTGTCCATATGACTGTCCCTTCAGTTCAGGTGACTTGACAAGGCTAATCATTTTCTGCATGTTAGCTTAAAGAAGAAAAAGTTAATTATTTACTTGATTCCAGCAATAAAATGCATATTACAGATAATGTCAATTATGTCACTTTTTATAAGCAGACCTTGTAGTTATTTCTTGATTTTTATTGTTGTTTTTCATCCCTTGTGAATAAATACCTCATTTTCTGCTGATGAGGATCTTTATCAAACAAGTCTTCCAGATACCAGTTCATCTGTTTCTCGTATACATGAGAGACTTATCTGAGGAAAGTTACATATTTTCCTTTTATAGCTCCTCTTAATATTTCAGAATTTCTCAGATACAGAATTAGCTCTTTCAATGGAGTTATGGTACTGTACTGAGAATTGCTGTAGAGGTAATTGGTTGCTTCTCTCACCTGTATGATTACTGACACTTTATGCAGATGTGGCTCTTGTTTTCCTCTGGAAATTATGAACATCTTTCGTTAATAATTCTCTTCTGTATGCAGTAAGTTTTAAGTAATCGTTCATGTAATTGGGGTGCTTCTGGCACTTTACTAAGTTCTTCAGTATTTGCTGAATTTTACACTGCTGCCTCTGGATGTTTTGTATTATAGTTTATTTGTTTGTGGAAGGGTAAAATGTAAAGAAAATGGAGGAAAAGACATAAGTGGTAACTTTGGGGAATAAAACTAGTATCTTAAAATTCCAACAAGTGTAAAATTCCAATGGTGCATATAGGTCCACCTAGTAATGTAGAGAGTCCTGATGTATTTATCTGTACCCAGAGGAAGCTTTTGAGGAAAAGGTGGAGGCAGGTTCAAAATAAGCTGTAGTCTTGTATGCCAGGTGCATGTTAAACTATGTAGCACATGATCCATCTCTGCAGCCTTTTACGTTCTCTTTCTTTCCTCTTGTTCAGATTGCAGTTGAGTATTGTTGTTTCCTTCATATAGCAGGCAAATTTATATAGCTGTAGAAATAACCGAGGAGAAAAATGTAATAGTTAATTGGGGGGAAACACTGTAACTGACACTCGGTTTCATGTTGTCCCTTTTCGTTTCTTCAGATTTGCCTGAAGCAGAAATGCCTCATCTGCTTTTATCCAGTATAATGTAGAGCAGATAACAGAAAGCATAAGCCATACTGCTAGGTTGGGGGGAATAGTGTAGCTTTGAATGAAACATATCAACTATGTGCCCTAAAAAGTCAAAAAAGCAGTTTTGTTCAAGGAGCAGAGGATACTTGGGATGCAGAGAATGGTGCAAGTATTTTGAAGGATGTGCATATTCTTTATCCTCCTTAAAAGAAAACTATTGTAGCTAGCACTGGGAATGTTTGAAGGGCTGTTATGCTAAAACTAAAACAATTGTGCTTTACGTCTTAGAGTGTTTTTGGGCTTGTGTAAGCTTTACCTTGCGTTGTCACGTATGCATCTCCACTTTCTTCCACTTTCTTAAGCACCAAGTCAAGTTGAGCTTTTCTGTAATTTGTTGTGGTGTATTATGGCACCACTAGCCTGTCTTATATCCTCTAAAAGTGGAAATGTTGTTAACCTCCTGTCGCATTAGACTCTTTGAAGTCCTTTCTGTTCTCTGCTCCTAGAAGTCAGCAAAGCCATGAACCCATTAATGACACACTTCTCATTAGGGGAAGGATCACCTACTTATGTGGTAAAACAAGTGTGTCAAAAAAAATGTTTGATGTCTTTTCTGAAACAGAGAGAGGTTCACCAAACTCACTAAGGATGGAAGCATTCATGACTTCCAAGAGATATTGAACATCATCATTCTCATCTTATTCTGAGGTTCACAGAAGAAGAGGAGAGCGGTAGGATAGGATCACGTTGTTCCATAGGTTTCAAATGACCAGAAGTGGCTCCAGATCATAAAGTTATGTGAGGAGCTCGTCCTCACGCTTCTGCACCAGCATTCTCAACAGAGTGCACCAGCGCTGGTGTAGAAGCAAGTGACTCTTGTGGTCTAATAACTGGTCACTTGAGACAGGTACAAATGCCATACATGCTTGGTGTTGGCAAGTTGGTTGTTGGGTGACTAGGGTGATTTCTGAAATAATTTTATAGGGGTGCCTGAAACAAAAGTTGGGTTCGGGGAAATTGCTTGCTTTAATAAAGTGTAGCAAGCCATTGCACGTTTCCATAATACACGTTCTTTAAGGAGTGATAAAGTTAGTCAATACCGTACTTACTCCTGGTTCTGAAGTGACCGACAGATGGCAGAGGGAGAGCCATGAACACAAGCAAGGAAGCGTTTCAGTAGCAAGGAGTTCTAGTATATGTACTCAAGGAAACCAGCATCTCATGCCTTTCTTGTCACACCATTACTAGTTTTTGTAGGGGAGAGAGGTTGAAAGGTAAGGTTATATTTCTAAGAACATGGTGAACCCGCTTTCATGGCTCATGAACACTCAACCATTCAGACTTCAGGAAAGGAGTGTCCAGTGATACTGTTAGCTGTTGTAAGAAGTGGCATAGCATGTGCTTGGCTGTTTGAGGACAAGATGGAGAAGCAGCAGTTTAGACACTAGTGTATTAAAAGCTTAGTCTGCAGTTATTGTGTGGTATACTTTAGACAATGTCTGAATTATATCTGTGTGCTCTCATGTAGAGTGGATGCAGTATATTGATGTGTTGTTGAGCAGGTTTGCACAACCACATGGTTCTGTGTTTGTGCTTATTCCAGGGATGTGGTGTGAACTGATACCATGATTGTGCAGATGTTCTTTGAGTAACTGATCAGATTTGCCATGAAGCTTCCTGTATTAATTTTCTTGTCGGCTCTCCAAGGAAGTCTGGAGCTTGTGAAGGAGAGTCTACAATTATATTAGAGTATTAAGTTGGGGGTTTTGGTTTGAGTTGGGTTGGGGTTTTTTTTTCAGGTACAGGCCTTTACCTTTATTACTTCATGCTTAATACCTGCTGTAGAAATTTTCACTTCATTTTACATAAATGTGAATGTTTTTCTGGTATTTTAATAACATTTCCCCTCAATGTTGATATGTATGCATCTGCAATTATCTTAATAACAACAGATGCTGTGTAGCAATATGTAGTCCACACAAAACAGTGTGTGGACCTGAGCTGATCATTATGAAGATCTTGAGGCAGTGGTAGTTCAGCAAAGGTAGCAGTTCCATTTCAGAAGAGGCTAGGAAGGCAACTGTAGTGGTAGATGTGATTTAGGAAAGAAATAGAGAAGAAAGAAGAGAATGCTATTGTACCACTGCATAAATCTGCACTTTGCCCATAACTAGTGAAGTTTTCTTTCCATCTCAAAAGGGTTGGAACAGAACCATGAAAAGGTCCAAAAAAGGGCAATTAGCATGGTCATGCATACAGAAAAGGTGCTGCCTGGGTAACAGCTAAGTAAGCTATGACTCTTTCAGCTAGAGGAAGATATGATTGGGGAGGATATGTTAAAAGTCTGTAGAATAATTTCTGATGGATAAGAATTGTTTATTTACTGTCCCTTCCAGTACAAGGATTAAGAGCCCTCAGATGGCAAGAGCCAGGACAAGGCAGATGAAAGCCAGCAGTTTGTACGTACACTGTTCAGTTGTGGCATGGAACTGCTTGCCAGTGGATGTTGTGGATGCTATAAGTTTGCATAATCTTAAGAGGAGACTGGACATGTTCATAGTAGAGAAATTAATTTAAAAAATAAGCAGAATTTGCAAAGTACTAAATACACAGAAACCAAGTCCACTTCAGGAAGTGGTTGAACTAGAAATAATTGTAGATTGGCAGAGTATTTGGAAGAAGGGGACAAAAAATCATATTCATATATATAAATTCATATATGTAATTTTTTTATATAAACATATATATTTGCTCTGTTCTTTGGCATCTACCATTGGTCAGTTTGAGACAGGATTTAGAGCCAGACTTCTGGTCTAATTCATTGTGGCTTTTCTTACGCGTTTTCCCACTTCTGTTCAGGTTTGAAGAACACTTACGATCTAGAAAGCTGATCTGATTGTTTGAGTTATGCCATTTGGTCAAATAAAAGATACTGCTGCAACTTATAAATCTTGTCCTGCATGTGTCCGTAGACCATCATGGTAGAATACCACCAGATATCAAGTACCGGAAGACTATATCAAGTTGATACTTGATAACAAACTTCAGTGGTTACTGAACTGAAGCATGCACAGCAACACTTTGAAGAACAGTCTGTTGGATTTGTAGATAAATATATAGGTGTATATATATAGGTATATATCTCCTTAATGTAGGCTTTTTCTGGTTGAATTTTGGCTAGAGGTAGATTTAATCCATTAAATAAGAAACGTGTTTGTTCTTTCCTGTTTTCAACAGAAAAGTGTATTCTCTTTAGCATTGCTTGAGTAATTTTAATGACTGATTCTAAAATTCGTTCTATTTTATTGGTTTTTTTTCCTAGAACTGAATTCCTAAAAAAAATGTTGGTGGTGCAAATCTGACCTATGATAATACCTTGAAAGAGTATGAATATTTCAGCAAACTGCCTCTTCAGTAGTTCCTCATTAGCATCTGAAGTGCATGCTGCTGCTGTCAATGGAGATAAGAGTACCCTCCAAAAGCTAATAGCAGGTAAATGTTTTCATTGTAGATGCATTTAGATTACTTAAGAACTGAAGCTTTTTGGTTTTGACTTACTGCTCTGATCTTTAATATATGTTTTCATTTCTTGATTATATGTATTTCTAGAATAAATGTAGTCCTGAAAATATGACTGATTTTCCTTACTTTTTGTTACCTGTTGCCTTTGACTGGTACTTCTGTGTGAAGTAAAATATAAAGTTGGTAAGTGATACAACCAGAAGAGTTATTCAGGACTCCTGTTTCAGGGAATTTGAAATTCTGGAGAAGTGCTTTGGGCTGAAATATTTTGGCTGCAAATCCTTATTTTTGGAATTGCTTTTGTGGGAAATTTGATAAACTTGTCTTACAGGTCATTTATTATAGTTAATGAAGTCTTGTCACTGTGTAGTATTTGGGGACAAAATGAGCCAGCCCTGTATTTTACTTTGATTCTGATACACTAACCATGTTTCTCAAGACAAATTGAAGGTAAGGAGAGAGTCTGAAGCTGAAGTGAAAAAAAAAATAAAAATTCCCATCCATTAAAAAAAACCCAGGATTTTGCCTTCTCTCTATGTCCAAGACCTGTGTGGCATTCCAGGTTAGTAGTTTTCAAAAGCAGTATATATTCTCTGTTCCAAAACCAATCTTGCATACATTTGGAAGGCTATGATATGATAGGTAAAGACTTTGATTTTCTGAGTTTCTGATTAGATGTGATTCCAGCTGATACTGTAGAAGCTTTATTTGCTCAGTGTTTTTTGAAGATCCCATTCCTGCAGCTTGGTAAGGGGGAAGGACTGTGAAATAATAAGAAACTTAATCTGTATTTGTGCCATTAACTGTCAGTTTTAATGGGTGTAAAGGATTTAATGGTAATCATATTAAACCAACAGTAAAGTTTATGTATCTTCTGCTGACCTGTGTTGAAGACAGGATAGTAAGCTATGTGGATCTATTGTCTAAGCTGTATAGAAAACAGTAAATGGTTCTTCTTTACAAGGTATATCTAATTATTTCAAAAGACAATTAGAAGTGATTTGACTCAAACAAAAGAAAAAATTTGAGGGAATTGACTTTCTAGAAGCTCTGCTGTTTGAAACAAGTATTTTTGGGGGGCCTTCAACTTTATTTTGTCATGTGATGGCTCAAACATATACTGTTTGCATTTAATGCTATCTGTTCAGTCTTTTGTAGGACATTTTACAAACAACAGATGAGCAGTTGATATGGAGATGCTTATAGAAATCTGTGGGATGCAACTACAGAGTAGCTTTAAATACCTGGGTTTTTAAAAAAACCTTCTGCCTGCATGTGGAGAGGGGAAAAAAAAGTCTGAGTTTTCAAATCTTGGCTAACAATCAGAAGCAACAACAACGAGTTTTTGCTAACTTCACTGTGTTTTTGTTAATCTCACAGCCAAAAGATGTATTTTGAAAACACAAAGGAACAAGTACTTCTGTGTTGCTGGTACACCTTGTCAAACATACCACAAAACAGCCATTAGAACCAGATAAGGAAATCACTATTCTTTTAATGGTGATTATGCAGCAACAAAATAAAAATGCTGTGTATTATTTTTACATGGGAGAGAAAACTGCATAATCCTTGCAAATAGCAAGCAAAATTTGGCTTTTCTGCTTTGTCGTGTTTTGACAGGATATGACACAGACCTTACTTTTGCCAGGACAGGACCCAAAAAAAAAGTATTGCCTAGCAGAAGAAGAATGCATCAGAGTAATATTTTTAGCTGTTTACCAGGCACTGTTGAAAGTATAACTTGATGCCAGAAGTAAATTGAGCAATTGGTGTTATTCACTGAACTTCATGACTGCACTTAGCAGCAGCGTCTAATTCAGGACAGTACTTCAGCAGTATGTGAGCGTATGCTGGATCACTTAACAACATTCTCCTAGCACAGCCAAGCTTTGCATCTTGATTATATAGCTAGCAGTATATGCAGTAACATACAGTCTGACTTTCTCCTTTTAGGGAGGGCTTTTTACCCCTAAATTCATTCTTACTTTCCTCTTTGAGTTTTCCCTATTCAGTTACTAACATGGGAGGGGCATAGAGGCTGATTAAACAGTCTCTTAGAGTAGCCCCCTCTAACCTGTTTGGTGATTGTTGCTTTTCCCATCTGTAGCTTGATGGAGTGTGTGTGACTGTATACAAACATATACATTGTATTTGCATATAATTCATGAGTATGGATGCATGTGTAATCTGCCACCCAGTAGCCTGTGATTTTTAAAGGAAAGGTGTTTGAAATAATACAGTGTGTTCTGGATACCATGTTCCAAAGGTAAGTAGAAATTTTTATACAGAAAGTGGGTTTTGGAACAAAGTGTCTCTTTATGTTAACCACTGCTGATGCTTAATTACAGGACTTTCTAAACAGCCTACGGGTTAAATACCATAAAGTACAGTACATGCCAAGTGTTTATTGTATAACCAGTGCTCTAACAAAAGTGTACTAATTGTTTGCATTGCGTGAGTTGCCTAGTACTGTATCACATTGTTTTAGAATTGTATGATCTCAGGCTTTGGGGAATACTCACAGTATTTTCTTTTCTATGTTTTATACAACACTGAACGTGTCTTTAATTAACAGTTCTTCAGTGTTAAAACCCATCCGTATGATTTTAATCCTAGGCAAAAAGAGAGCAAAAGTTAATTTTTTGTTTGCAGGATCATTTTGCATTTAATGCTTTTATGTAGAGTTTTCGGAAAATGCATCTAATTGTTTTAATTGTTTATGAGAACACAATAATGTGTGTAGTAGTCATTATACTGATGTGTCTATTCAGTCTAACTCCTCATTCTAAAACCCTTATCATGTATTGCTTGCAAACAAATGCTTCTAAGTCTCTGATATGATGTTTCATTGTAAATGTTAACTATAAATTCTGGGTTGCAGATATGGAGTTGCATGTTTTTGTTTGATTCTCTTCTCTGCTTCTCTCTTCCGTGTTCTGCAATGCAGGAGCTTGAATAAAACTCGGATCAGATATTACAAAAGGCAAGATTCTTGCAAGTAACAAGAGATGGTCTGTCTTTTAATAATTGAGCAGAATTCATGTCCTCTTCCTGCCCTTTCTCCTCTTCTGATTTGAAAAATGCATAGAAATGTTAAAGTCTGATGTGATTGCTTGCATAGACTGTAAGGAAGTGATGAGGTATGAATATGAGAGTTAAATTTTGGAATTGGGCCACTTGATTCCATGGTGTTCGTGACCTCCATTGGCAATAAGCTTATGGAATGCATAATCCGATGGGGTGAGGATGTTGATCCTGAAAGGGGAGGGATCAAACAAACTTCCTTTCTTAGGCAGGCGTGTGGAAGAGAATTTAATTTTGCCACAGCACATTTTAGATACACCGATATGTGAATGTGTTGAAGGCTACCTGTGCTTTCTCATTTGCAGAAAATAATTTACTGCAACTGTGAAGTCCACAAGGTGTTGTGGTTAGTGAATTTCATCAGCTTAGTCCCCCTTATCGCCTGATGGTGATATAGTAGCTTGTAGTCCTTGTTCTGTCTCTTAGCCTGAGCGCAGAGACATCCTTTTAGGGAAATGCCCACAGGATTTTAACCATTCTAAGGGCCTTAGAGAGTCTTGTAAGCAAACAAAATAATAACAACAGGAAACCTACTGCTAGCTGAAGGTAGTTTCTTTACCCTAAACAGTGCAGCAGCTTCAAGCAAATTACTGGCATCAAGGTTTGAAGGTCTTGCTCGTTTTTCACTCAGAGTCTGTGCAGTCGTGGAAACTCTTTGTCATCAGCTACATCGCTCTTTGTGAGCTGTAAATGAAAGTAGATGTCTGTTGCTTTACTTGGTTGCGTTGTACTTGAGCTTTAGGCCATTTTTGCTCATCTTGACCTTACCCATTTCTTTCTTTTAGCGTCTACGTTCTGTATATCCTCTAACTATATAACAGAAAGGCAACTTGGAATTTGAGGGAGAGGGACTAGTTTTGCACACTGCTGATTTAAGAACAAGTCTTACATGAGCATGAGCCATGTGCATGTGTCTTACTGGGAGGAATGCATGTTTATGTATTTCTTATTAAAAATACGTGTGATTGTGCAAGTCCCATCAGCTTCAACATACTTAAGACACTGTTGAGGCTATGTTAACACTGAACAGTGAAATATGGTTTAGTGATGTCTAAATTATCAGGCTGAACTAATACTGGAAGAGAACCTGACTGTACTTAGCTAATTAGAAAAACTGGCTTGTTGGCTGGGAGCAGTGACATTTTAAGTTATGCTTTGGACCTCAGTGTCTGTATGTTGCTGCATAGGGCTGCATGGTTGTTCATAACTGATGTTTCTGTACTATGCTCTGTTGAATGGAAAAAGCATTTATTCTTAGCTAAAATATGGAGATAGAAGACATTGACAGCTTCACAATATGTACATATAAGTTTTAAAATACTTTTTTCTAATAGTAGAGGGAAGAGTTGTCTTGAAACTGCATCCAGTTTGCAATGAAATTTTAATACTGTGAAATGAAAGTCTAGCAAATCAAGTTAAGGAAAATAAAAATTTTGGATTCTCCTGTTTAAGTCATATGTTACATTTTGAATTATTTCCTAATGGCCATGGCATTAATTAAGCAAGTGATGTAATTTTTTTTCTATATACTGCTTTTTAATGCACTCAGTAAATAGTACTACTTGTCATTTTGAGCAGAAATAAAGAATTACATTCTTCAATAATGAAAATAAGGTGACACTTAAATGAATACTTAAAGACAATACATGAGCTTTTCTCTCAAAAAGTGTTAAAAAGTAGTGTTTAAAAAAGTGTTGAAACAGTATCAATATGTAAATAGCATTAGTAAAAATTACATTACTTATTTATATTTCCACATCAAAATGTAGTTACATATAACAGGACATAAATAATAATCCAAAGACGTTTCAACTTGCACAGCTTTTAACTCCCCTTTAGAAACATTGCATATTATTTTTTTTAAAGTCTTAAAAATGCTACCATAAAATTAAGCTTTTTTGATATCTATTGTTTTGATGTGAAGAGTAATGAATAAGATATATCCAATACTTGACCTTCTTGCATTCTAAGCAAAGTTCAGACCAGACTGTTATGCAGGTTTTATGCAAAACCACACAGGAAAAAAATCACCTGTGTAAATTTACAAATGTAATTTTCTACTATTTCTTTTATTATTTGATTTTTCTTCTGTATAAAAATGTACTTTGGTCATTTATTTATTGAAAAAATCCAGGACTTGGCTGTTATGCTCATTATGAGAAGGTTTCTAAAGGAAGAAATGAGGAAAAGCTGACAAGGATACATGCAGTTCCCAGTGGCCTATCTACAGAAGGTGGAGTTGTAGCTATTTTGTATCTTCATTTATGCAGTCATACAGTAGGAGAAGATAGCATCCTATACAAACCAGTTGAAGTTGTGTGGAAATCCCAAACATATGCATTTTTCTACATACATGGAAGTCTAAAAAAAATTAGGTGGAAAAACCAGGATGTCATGTTTTAAATGAGGTTATTGATTGTATAGTGAGAATGTAAAATTTGTGGAAGGGAAGGCATCAATGTGGACAATGTTACTTCTGTATACTGTGTATTCTGATATATCCATGGAAGCCATTTAGGTGGAGGAGTGGTGATATGCATTTGAAAACCAAAGCAGAAAACAAGTCTTGGATTTGAATGAGATTAACAAATGACCATATAAATCAAGCTTAAACACACACACAAAAAAAAGCTTAATGACTGCGTTTACAGGTCTAAATAGGAAACTATGGCACTAAGGTTTTATTACTGTCCATCTGACCAGATGGAGATATGTGTGACATGCTAAGGAAGATCAGAGATCTGAATTGACAGGAAACACAATAATAATGAAGGTTACTTTCATATGTTTTGGGTAAATGGCTATTGAGGATATGATCCTAAAACTAAATTGTTAGAAATCATTAATGGGCTGCCAATAGAAATTTCTGTGAACCCAGAACACAACCAACTCTTGAGTTGCTCTTGACTGCTGTGTAGGACCTGAACTGGTGTTAACTAAGCAAGATTTTCTAACTCTTGACCAGAGTACACATGGATAAGCAACAGCAGCTAGCTGTAGTTGCATACTCTAAAAATGGTGAAGGATATTAAAATGAAAAAAACTTGCTACAAAGAATCTAAAGATGAGTCTAAAGAGTAAACTCCTTGTTTACAGTGTGAAGTGAATGCAAAAGCACTTAACAGAAGAAAAAGTTTAGGAAGATCGAAGGGAATCAAGCATGGCTAAACAGCAGTGTGAGGGTGGATATTAAAAAGCAGGAAGGTGTTCTTCAAAAAACATAACCTGTGTCTGAGGAAGGTAGATGCAAGTCAGTAAAAAACCTTTTTTTTTTTTTTTTTTTTTTTTTAATAATCTGCTAGAGACATAAAAATTAGTTATAAAACTAGTGAATTGTCAAGGTGAAGGGGCAGTCAGGGAAGACAAGGCCATGGTTGAAGAGCAAAAAGAATTCTTCTATATCTGCATTCACAGAAGAGTTCAGAAACATTCCTAAGCTGTTTTTTACAGAGCAGAAAGAGTTTTCTCAGTGCTAATCACAATTTCTAAGCAAGAGAAGGTGTTACGGAATGAATCATGAGAATGACATGGTATTCCCTCAACATTTTTAAAGTTTACTCAGAAGAGTGAACGAGCAAATGATTGCTCTAACTGGCAATATCCTGCTTAACAGTGGTTTTTTGCAAGAGGCTTGGTTGGTAGGGAATTTTAATTCTTGATATTCCCCTTGATTCACATTGAATCTGCTCGACTCTTCTGCTGGGTAAATGAATAGAAATTATAATTAAGAATACAATTACTGGATATGTAGATAAGTATAATATGCTGGGGAAAAGTAAAGATTGTGTTTGTAAAGAAGAACCATGTCTCTGCTGGAGTTCTTCTGAAGCATCAACAGTCATGCAAACAAGGGAATATTTAAAAAGAAAAATTAACTTACCTGCTAAAATTCAATGTTCCTTGAGTTATTGTAGACAAATTTAGAGTTGGGGTGTGTAGGATAGCTGATACCCATGAATGTATAAGTGCTAGTTTCTATGTGGTGACGTAATAGAAATATGAAACTTTATAGTTAAGGGTGCATACTGGTTGGTTTGGTTGTTTTGGGGTTTTTTTTGACTGAATAGGAGTACAATGTTTTGATTTTTTTTAATAGGACCTCAGACTTCTTATTTAGCTTAATTGCTGCCTTACTAACCTTACCAATTCAAGAAAGCTCAAAGTATTTTAGTAGTTTCCATATTGTAAGGCACTATGAAGTAAATAATGGTATTGATGTAATATTGATGTGTTTATGCTCTTAAAATAAACATTGCTGTGAGTAGGCTTCAAAGCTTGTTTTAGTTACAGTGTTTACAGGTTTCAGAAGGACTATTTGGTTTATGTGCTGTTGATATTTTTTAAAGTAATCTTTGCAGCCAAGATCTGTATAACTGTTTTAAAATTATTTATAATTATGCCACTGCAGAATGTTACTGGTGGTTAGGTGTATTTGTGGAGCTAATGTTTTCTGAGTGTACATTTTTCTGTAAATATATTTTGAAATGTCCTATAAATGTCAGTAAAAATAGGGTAAAAAGTAGTAACTTTTAGTTTATCTTATACTCCGTTATTTTGATCACCCTGTTCATTTGTAATAAGATACTCTTTTAAGAAAAAAGTACTACTTTTAGTTAGATACTTATAGACTTAACTCTTTTATGTGATTATTTTTTTTTTTAGGAAACTCTGAGCTGAAAGATAAAGAGGACCAGTTTGGAAGAACTCCACTTATGTACTGTGTATTGGCAGACAGGCTGGACTGTGCAGAGGCATTGCTGAAGGCTGGAGCCGATGTTAATAGAGCTGATCGTAGCCGAAGAACTGCTCTCCATCTTGCTGCACAAAAGGTAATTGTTACAAGTGCTCAGCCATAGTATAAACTTGCAGTATTCACAACAGGTATAAAGGAGATTTTCCTGTATTGAGTAAGCATGTTGTGTCTTTAGAGGTTTTCATTATTTTAGAGGCAAATAATGCTAGGAGTTTTTAAAAAACTTGGCCCATCCCAGAGTAAATCTTTGGAGCGTTATTTATCATTTTTTAGTGTTTTTACTGAGTGTATTTGTAGCTGTCTGCAGAGAGAGTATAATGCATTGCTGTTTCAAGAACTTGTACTTTCAAGGAAAAATAGCCCATGTCCATTTTGGGATAGCCAGTTCTAAGTAAACACTAAATTTTGTGCACTCTGATACTCCTTAGTGATCAGCTTACTGTGAATGTTGTTGTTTCAAATATAGGTATTTCATAAATGGAACAATGTCAGAGACTTAAAAAATTGCTGTAAGATACTATGCTTGCCTGGTGTTCATACAGGCTTTAGATTTTATGACTTGATAGGCACATGAACATTTTAATCATATTAAAAACTTAATTTTAAAAATTACATTTTCCCTATATATTTAAAATACATTTTAGCATATTAAACCAATATAAATTAGTGTTTAAATCTTTCTCTATTTGTTCATATTGTGGATGTTTGTATTGTGGGCAAGAAAGACTTTGCCTTGGCATAATATCCGTTAACCGCATGTGCTCTCCATTTCCTTTATGTCTTACTGCAATCATGAAAGGGCAGTTTGTACCATGTGATAACTTGGACCATTTTAGATGTGTTTTCAGTTGATAGTGCAGCTGAAAAAAAGATACCGTCTTTACCTCATGCTGTTTTAGCAGAAGATTTTATGCACCCACTTACTGTGTAATGCACTAGATAGATGTGATTCACCCCATAGCCACGTAAGTGCTTGTGCTTTCACAGTGCTGGGGTGGCAAAAAGTGGTCAGGAGACAGCCCTTGCAGCTGCTTTCCATTTGGCTGACTTAGCTGTCCTGTAAAACTGCATTCTGGGTCTTCTGAGCAGTTACTCATTATTGATGTCAGCTTACAAAATTAACATTTCATGTGTGTAAAATTTTGTCTTCAGTGTTTCCTTATTAACATTTTAAGATCTGCGTTTCTGTCATGAATGCCTTCTGCAAAATATATAAAATTAAAATTCAAACCAACTTCATGTTCCATGCAGTTTTGGCTGTTTAAATAATGTTTTGCATTCTTCTTATTCCTCTCTGATACTTTTGGCTTATAATCTCTTTTTTTTTTTTTTTTTTTCCCCCCCCAAAGAAAAAAAAAAAAATTCTCAGTAACCAATACTGAAAGTTGACTTTCAGACAGAAAAAGAAAAATGCTGGGAGATCACCCATTTCCAAAGTTTTATTGTCAGTGTTGGTTAATCATGAATCTACATATTTACCAGGGCCACTGTATAGTTTTTGTTGTTTTCAAGCTTGTGAGTCAGTCACTGTCATGCACTTCATCAAAAACAGGTTTACATGACTTTCTAAATCTCCATTTATAGTCATGGGTATAAGTTGTTTAGAATGACAGTGCTTGGAGATTCAGATTCCTCAATTGCACTTGAGTTGCATACTAATTTTCATTTTCTTTGGAGAGAGAAGTTAAGATTAATGCACAGACCTTTACGTGCAACCAGTGATGAGGCAGGAAAGAGTTGACACTTTTCCACACACATGTTCTCAACTCAAGCAGATGGATGTGAAATGAAGTAAGGTTTCCTGAGTAGGAACCTTCCTCTCTAGGTACTAGAATTACTTTTGCTATTTTTTTTGCTGTCTCTTGGGAGTGCTTTTGGAACACCTTAAGCATCAGATCACAGCAGATGTCCTGAGGGCTAGAGTTTGTTGCCAGAATATTTGAGTCTCTTTAGGTTGTTAGTCTGCAGGCTTCCTTTATATGCCCCTTTACAAGTGTTCCTCTGAAACAGTCTTGCAGTTGATTTGACAAAAAATGGTCTCTGCTGTATTTGAGAGCCACAGAACTGTCTTGGAGGCAAAGAGTTTGTGAGCAGATACTCTTCTAATGCCAAACAGAAAGAATGATTTAGCCATCTTGGACAGAAGTAAGCTGAATGTTTTAATTCATGAGTTTAGATTCAAGATGGTCACTTTCCCATTAGTAATCCTGGTTATCAAAAGAAAAGTTGGTTTTATTCTCTGCATTCTGCAGAGAATCTTGCAATACTTCTTTCCCTCAGTATCAGCTAAAACTGTAGCCAATGTAAGGTTCTTTGTTTTCTCTCCAGCATCAAATAACTGTGCTAAGGTATTGGTAGAAATGCCTGCTCACTTGAGATGAAACTGTTCCGTTTTTCTGTCTGGAGATGTCACTGATAAAAGGACTTCCAGTTCACATCTTTCAGTCCTAGTAAAATAGCTTGTATGGTTTTCTTAATCCCTGTTACAGAACAAACATTCAGAAATGTGGCATAGCCCAGAATTCAGTCATAAATCATTAGTATTAAGTAAAATGAATTAGGACTGTAATTGCCTTTTGTCTCTAGGATGGATTTCTGGTTGGATAGGACTTAAATGAACAGCTGTAACATTATTCAATTAACGCTTGCATAACTAGCTTCTGACTGCACCTGTGTGATTTACAAACCTGGTTATACTTGGTAAGTGTGTGTATACATACACATATGTACGTACTAGCTCTCTTATATTTTATTTTTATTTTTAGCTTCTACCTCTCTGCAAGTTTTACACTTCCAGCTATTTTCTGCAAAATAACAGACTTTTGCTCCTGACATGTTTTTTATTATTGTTGCATAAGGATTTTATTTTGTAAAAGCATTTTTTCCAGTCCTTCAAAATGCTAACAATCACATCCAGTGTTCAAAATTCAAATTCTCATTTGTTGAAATATAGAGGTCTTCCTAAATTACAGCTGAAGATTACAGCCTTACCCATATGGTCATACAAAACATTATCTGACATGACAGTCTCACAGTAGTTTCTTAATCCTTCATCTTTTCCTAACGGCACCTCTAACTCCTTTTTAAGGAATTACTTTGTTACTCGTGGTTGTGTAGTTGATCTCCTCCCAGGTATACTGCTGCACTCAAGTTGCTTCTTGTCTCACAAGTGTCCTAGAAGCCATCTATCAGAACTGTGAGTTGTCAAAATAGCTCTATTTTGCTTTGGATATCAATAAACAATATCAAAATTTCTGTATTTGATATAAATGCTGTTCATGGTCTCTGTCAAAAATATTTCTGATAGCATAGCAAGGCAGACTGACCCATGCTATTCCATGTTCTTTCAGTTCCAAGGGTTTCAACATAGGTAAAAAGTGAAGGCGATTTGATGATTTCAGTAACCCTGTGTAATGCAGTTTTTATATCTCAGTCATCATTGCCAGTTAATGAGGAAACTGAGGTCTCAGAACTTAAAGTTGCTATGTCATCCTTGTCTTGCCATGCTTCATCCAAATGGCTTTTGTCACTGGCGCATGTCTACAAAGCAGTAGTTACCTGGAAAGATGTATCGGGTTCTCAACAAAGGGTTCTTGTAACCTCTCTGTCTCAGACTTCATTAATGACATTCTGGGCTATTTGCAAGAAGTAAGAGTTAGGATATTCCCTTACTTATTGGTCCATCTAGCCACCTTTCTTTGATAGCAGATTAAGCATAAGTGTTCTGACAGCTTTCTTTGCAGAAAGTTCCTGAAGTTAATAATGTAGGGTCAGAAATTTCAGCTGTTAATGTTACTTGAAATAGCAATGCTTTTTGAAAACAACTGTGGTTATATGTTGATATGATAACCTTTGATGAGTGGTTGCTTAATGTTAATAATTATGTTCTTAACGGTAAGTCTTCCATTTGGTGATAGACATCCTTTGTATTACAGCTTTTAAGCTTTACACATCTGTTGGTCTAAAAAAGATTTTTAGCATGAATAGGAGTTAGGAAGTTAAGCTCTTTGCTTAAATGTAACAAATACATCTTTTCTCTTAATGGAAAATATTAAAAATATACTACAATGCAGTGTGAGACGATGGGGTGAGAATAATCTCATGTAACTGTAGAAATTTACATTGCAGACATCTAAATCTGAGGTAGTCATCTAGATTACTTTTAAAGTTAATGTGCTTTAGGGTGCAGTTCATTCACCCTAAGTATAGATAAGTACTTTAGGACACACTGACTAGCTGAGTCATCCTTTTAGAGTGATGCAGGTTTTGATGTCAATGTCTAAATTGTGACAAATGAATCTCGCCCAAGGCATACATTTTTTTAGCAAGTCATCTTTTTTGAATCTTTATTGACATGATCTTTGTAGTATCTGTCTTTTCTTCATCAGCCTTATGATGGAGATGTTTTAGTCTTTGTAGGCAGAAGGCCATCTAAATGAAGTTACTTGGTTTTTATTCTTGGGTTTCCTTCTGTTCCACTATAAAGATAGAATGTTTTGGTCTCTTTTGTTAAATGGACAGGTGTCCTAAGCAATTTTGAAAGGGTGCACACCCTTAAAAAAAAAAAAAAAAAAAGTCAAGTCGTTAACTTCAGAAAATTTAAATCGAAAAACAATCGAACAAAAAAAAGACCCTCAAAGCCTAAACCCACCAGAAAATTATACAAATTATTGCAGGAGTGCACCTGTGAAGATTGTCATAGGAGTTTCAGAGGACAATGTTGACTTCATGAACATGGATGTAATTTGCTGGGAGCTGAAACAGGGACTGATTGCAACAGAAGTAAAATCATTAACATAATTTGCCAGTGATTTCACACTGAGGAATTGTATTACTATGTGGGTACAGATCGTTTAAGCTGGTAGAACTTAGATTATTGTGAAATAAACATGCTGTGGAGACAGATATGAGTACTGGGATTGCAGTTTTAACTACAGACATTCATTTTCACTTGTAAGCATTCTGGTAGCAATTTGCTTCTAGTCTTAAATTGCAACTTGCTTAAACACCCACATGTGATGCTTCTGAACGGAAATGTTTCTACATACCCAAATTACCTTTATATGATTTTTTCAT